TCTATTTTTTTCAGCAGTTCCGAATTTTATCAGTTCCGAACAGGGGCGGATCTAGGATTTTCTCGAGGGGGGGGGGGGGGGGGGGGTTGGTTACGGATTTTCAAAAAAATTTCGAAAATTTTGACGACCTCTCTTAAAGCACTATAGAGACCGCAGATAGACCAAATATTCTGCGCCGCAGGCAAAATTTTGAAAAAACAGGTCAAAAAAGCCGTTTTTGGGCTCTTTTTGGAAAATTTTGACAAAAAAAAATGCGTTTTTTTGGCGCGCGCTCCCCCTCAAAGTTAGTACTTATTGGCGCCAATGGCGCCTTTAGAAAAATTTTAGGGTCGGTCGGCCAAAAGTGGATTTCTTAAAAAGTACCAAAGTGGGGACCCTTTGGGTCGGCAGGGGGTCGAATCCCTGAGGGGAGGGCGTCCGCCGCCCCTGGTTCCGAATATAGCAGTTCCAATTTTTTTGAAAAGTTTTTTATTCGATTGTATCGCAGTGGTTGGAAACTGAGCTTCGCTTCTTTATTGATCTTTGAAAAGGGGGGTCAATTAAAATGGGCCCTACCGTCATGCGACGGTACGTGCACAGGTTGAATAGGGCCATACCAACGCTATATAAATACATCGACAAAATTTTATGAATAAATCAAGTCTATTTTAATGCATCAAGAGAATTGTCAATTAAAATCTACCCTCCTCGATTACAGCACAGATAGAATTGTCTATGTTGGATGTATTTTTAAGTTTTTTGCACCCCCTAAAGCAGAAGTGCAAAACTCAGAAGTGCAAAACTTTTTGTTCTTATATAGTTAATTGTGTCGGAGTATGATTCGTTCCGTTTTTCGCTTAGTTTCTCTGCTAGTTTCTGGACGGTTTTTGTAGAGCCAGGTGCTGCTCCTCCAGTACACGCAAAAATTAGTGGAACAAAGCTGCTGTGTTCCACGTCCAGAATTCTTTATTGGTATTTTAATGTTTTGACACTCTCATGATATTTGTAGGCGTCAGATATAGTTTTAGGGCAGGATTTAGCATGGGGGTTGAAAATTTTTACATCGAAAAAGGTTCGGCTGAATCGGCCTCCCCAGAGTCCATTTGCCTTGATGTCAAGTCGAGCGTCATCTTCAGTAGTGGTTGTTTTGTTGTAAAAGCTTTCGCCTTCCAACGATTGAAGTTTCGGCTCTATTTCAACATCATGGCATACTTCGTCCAGGAGTGTCGCAAGGGTATCGCGAATTTCATTATGTCTTATTGATCTTTGATGCATTAAAATCCTTTTAGTTGATTAGTTGATGAATGGCTACCAGTGAAAGCAGCTCAAAGTTACTTAACGACTATACGTGGAAGTTTAATAGTTCATTGGATCCAGATTTTGTCATCACTTCGTCGATGTACCCATTTATGATCCGAAATTTACTTATCCAGAAACTAACGGAAAGCGGCTTTTCGACGACTGATTTGGGCGACTCCTTGAGTGTTGCCTGTGATGCAATTGCCTCTTTGATGGAGCGTCGCATCGTCACCGAGTGCGTTAATGCAAAATTGTTATACGAAGACTCAGGCGAGCGAAGTAGCTCTGAAGTGCAATTTTTGAATCGATGTTTGAAAATGACCGATTTGTTGTAAAATTACCAAACAAAGGTGGTCTTTGTTTAATGTGGACGATATGAGGAGAAAACTACGACAAAAACGCCTTGAAAGAGAAATGCATTGCGGGGGCAGTCTACGATTAGTAGTTAGACCAATCATCAAGCGGTGGGCTGATATCATTCAGTACTAGTTTACTTGAGACAGGCATTGAACCAGCAACGTTCAGTAAAGTAACTATTAATTGCAGCTCCCGAATAAACTAGAAAGTTTCTGTTAACATAAAGTGGGTTTTTAATTTCTTAGAAATTAAATGACTTAATTATGTTTTCGTTTCATCGAATATCGGCCGCTCGATTTAGCAAAAATGATATTTGGTCAGACCAGAAATTTCCACACTTCCTCATAATACCCTGTCCACATAATTTGTTAATAGAAAAAGTTCTGCACTCCAGAGGAAAAAAGTTTTCCACTCCTAAGCTTTGCTTTCCCGAAGATGCACTGCACCTCTATGCATCCGCGTTGAAAAGACATTGAAAAATTCAAATAGCTTATACATATCTATTTGTGCAATATTCGAACAGGGTAGATTTTAATTGACAAGTTTAGATGTTGAAACAACTGACAAGAAATATTCTTAAAAGGCATTTAGATAGCAATGGTAAGGCCCCAGCCAACCTGTGCTCGGACCGTCGTATGAAAAAAATGCCAATTTTAATTGACTTTTTAAACTGAAAAAATAAGAATGAAAACTAAATGAGGCCCTGGTAAGTTAAGCTGTTCATCCTTATTTTTTGTTGAAGAACTTTTTGCTCATACTCAATCTAATGAATTAAATATAATTATGATTAAGCTCAAGGGGACAGCCTTAACAAAGCTCCAGGTATCGAATATTGTATCGGCGCTCATACATCAATTAGGGCGGAAAACGGTAGACAAGGAATTTACATTTCAATATGCGATCGGTCAATGAATTGTGCTTATTACTTCAACTGTTTACTAATGAATTTACTGGTGCTTACTTGTTGTTTAAGCGTACTCGAGTTGTGTTTAGACTTTTTTAATACTTAAGCTCAATTTTTTACGCGTCAATTTTGACGTGGTCTTTAAGCTTGCCATTAGCAGGCGTTATCAATTCGAAACACAGGCGTTTTTTTTGGTCAGTAATATGTCCTACAGAAGCAGTAACGGTTTTTATAGCCTGGCTTATGATCAATTGAAATTCAACGACTAATTATCGTAGAACATATGTCGTCGAAAAATTGTATCGTAGAACAACCGTTAACTAATTTATTTACGGTTTCTTATTTCTTGTTTAATTGTACTTTAATTATTTCTTGTTGTATTTAGACCTAAGACTTAAGCGTTAACATTATCAAAGAACAACTAAAATTTTATCGTAGAATAGTTGTATAACCAAAAAATTTTAACTAACATGTTTTCTTACTCGGTTAATAAATCTACGAAAAAACTTAACTCTAAGGATTTCTTTCTGCCAAAATAATTTCGGCCTATTTTTCATCGGCTTAGTGACCTAATTTTGAGTTGTTTCAACGGAAACACATTTTTTTTGCTCACCTTTGGAGATCGCACAAAATGCTAAAATTCATAATAGAAATGTAGTACAAGTTTTTCATGAAAATAATTTTTATCCGGCTTTTTAATTTTTCCCTTTGTTTTTGGCCTGATTGGTGTCGGCCTATATTATATCGGCTCATTAGCCTCATATCGTGTCTTTCGACGAGCAACAAAAGTTTCGTTTGTGTTAGTGTGTGTTTTGAGGCTAAGGGGGACTTTGTAATTTCTTATTAGTCTTAATTTTTTTTTGATTTTTTTCGCCTTCTTTTTTGGTCTTAATAGGTTTCGGTCTATATTATATCGGCTTAGTGGCCTCATTTTATTTCAGTTGATGAGAAAACAAAGTGTTTTGAGTGTGACGTGGATTTGTTTACTTTTCAGAAGTCTGAAGTCTTGTTGATTTTTTTTCGGCCCAGAGGGTTTCTGACAAGGTTTTTTCCGCTGTGTACATTATCTTCCGATGCTAATTACACATTCTATTGTCGTGGAACGTTTCTTTTCAAAAAAAGCCCGATTCATTTTAGTAGATATAGATTTTTTGACCTTGTCGATTTGTTTCAAATTTTTTTCTTTGAAATCTGTGAAATCTGGAGTGTCGAAAAAATATATGAGCACAAATCATTGAAATTGCGAGAATACATCACGGAAATAGGTTGGTTTTGACTAGGAATGTCGGAAAGGAAGAGAAAGATGATGTGAAATTCATTTTTATCCAAAAACAATCATCACGGCAAAACATTATCGATGTTGCTAATTTGTTCTTTTTTTGGATTTTACAATGTCTGAAGGGCTGCTGGGCGTTTGCATCAAGGAAGCGTTCCATCGCAAGTTCAATTGCTCTGGGATTTGATTTCTAGTAGACAGCATTTCTACATTTTTGATTCATGTTATTGCGTTTTTAAAGATTTTTCTAGATAAACTGGTGTAAGACCGAGAAAAAATGAGAGTCAGTTTTTCCATTTTTTTCACAACGTTTTGAACTTTATCGTCTAAATCTCGATGCTTTTTGTGAGAAATTTTTGTCCGGTAGATGCATCCAGGTTGTAAGTTTCCAGTTTCTGGGTTGCCCGTAATGTCAAAATATGTAGGAACTTTGCATTCGGTTGAGTTTTAGTTTTTTCTTTTGTTGTGTTCAAAGCAAAATGAGGTACAACAAATAATCATCGGAATGGGTCGAGTGATATACCAATTTGAAGCCCTTTCAGTCGTGAGTCGAACGACATTAAAATGTTTTCAAAAAGTTTTCTCATTATCGAGAAAAACTAGTTTATAACTTATTTCAATTTTGAGCGATTTTATTTCAAGTTTGAGCAAATAAAGCGAGCGAGCAGGCTTACAACAGCTTAATTATGCATAATTTAAGCCCTGAAAACTTGTTTTAAGCACATAAAAATTATTTTTTTTTAGCGCCATTTTTTGATTTTTTCTTTTCTAGTCTTTTTTCTACAAACATTTTGTCCAATTTGCCTTTATTATAATGACTGTCGGAGATGCCTGAACTATCGTTCTACGTCAGATCTTTTTAGCACACCACGCAGCAGAAGCACTACTTTGTAAAAAAAATAAATAGTTTTTTTTAAGACTGGTCTGAACATTCTATGCTACTTGCACACACTAACCGGCTGTCATTGTTTGCATTTTGCTTTTATCCAAGTCCTGTCTAAAGCACGAGTTTTTATAGGATTCCGAGTTCGATGCCCTGCAAGCTTGCGGATCTACTTGATTTTGCGTATAAAAAACACCGTAGGACAATGTTCCTTCTCACTCCATCGTCCAGTTGTTGGTCGGAACAACAACATTTCAATGTTTAACAATGAAGAATACTTAATTTTCAATATTTTCAGATTTTGCTGAAATGGACGAGTTATTTTCAAATGATGACAAGTCCACGATGCCTCCTTCGGCAGATACTTTCGGACCCCTGAGTTCCACGGATCCGTTTCCTCACTCAGTTCTCTCCAATACATCTGCCATGTTGCAAACACCCTCCCAAATACAAACCCCTGCTTCCCACCAGCCCTCTACCCATGAAGAGCTGAAGCCTCATTTATCGACAGTGCAACCTCCGTCGGTATCTGGAGTTGCAAGTACACATCTTTCTCAAATGGCGCCGCCAAGTGTAATGCCGATCACTCCTAGAAGCATCCCATCAGTTGGAAGCGTCGGCACAGACTCAATCACACCCATTCTTCAGAACATAGTAGCTACTGTGAATCTATGTTGCAAGTTGGATTTGAGGAAAATAGCACAGGGAGCCAGAAACGCCGAGTACAACCCAAAAAGGTTCGCAGCTGTGATCATGCGCATCCGAGAGCCGAGAACAACAGCTCTTGTGTTCTCCTCGGGAAAGTTGGTTATAACCGGCGCCAGGAGTGAAGATGGCGCCAAGCTGGCTGCACGGAAATACGCCAGAGTTATCCAAAAACTGTCATTCCCGGCAAAGTTTGCCGAGTTTAAAATCCAAAACATGGTCGGCTCCTGTGACGTCAAATTTCCTATAAGATTAGAAGGACTAATGCTAATGCATGGTCAGTTTTGCAGTTACGAACCAGAATTATTCCCGGGACTAATATACAGAATGGTTAAGCCCAGAATTGTGCTGCTAATTTTTGTGTCGGGAAAAGTTGTCATTACGGGCGCTAAAACGAGAGAAGAAATCTACCAAGGATTCAATAATATTTATCCAATTTTAAAATCATTCAAAAAGAAATGATTTGGGGCAAAAACTGGTCAGAATATTTTGTTGAAACTTCTTTGAGCTTTATTTATGAATGACCCGAGTTTATTCCTTAAATTCTAATTTTAATCAGTTTATTTTATTATTTTACAGTACTTGGGATGCGGAATTGAGTCATGGAAGCAAATGTTTTAACTGACTTGCCAGCTAAATGAGATGCCATGAATGTGATTCTAAGCGGGACGATAGTGTAGTGGTTGAGATCTCCGTCTATCAGTTGAAATGCCGGTAGTTTCAGACTTATTACGATCCGAGTACCCAAGCCACAAAATTCCAAAAATAGCATGTACGTCTTTATCATGTGTACATCAGCGTTTCTTCGTAAACAACTAAAGAGCTTATATGTTTGTGCTTTCGCGTGAAAAAATTGTTGTGAAGTAGTTCCTACATTTTTTGAAATGGCGGAGACTTTTTACTATACAGAGAATGAACACCAGACGAGTTTCATTCGTATATGGAGTTTCGAAAACAAAATTGAAAATGGGGTAAAAAAAGACAGCTGAAATTGATATAAAGATTTTTCGCGGAATAGAGTTTTCTGCTGAATTTTTCTTCAGCCTCACTAAAAGTTCATTTGCTACTTAGATGGCAAATTACGCTCTCTAATAGCAAAAATAACCATGGCGTGCAAAATTGACCCTGAAATTTGATTCCAATTTTAGTTTTGAATTTTCAGATTTTTCAACCCAATCTTACAATTACCTATTGATCCATTTTACTCATTAACCTTTCGATAAGCAAGAATATTGCAACCGGTACTAAAAAAAATTTTCATCTTGGTTCATATTAAATTCAAAAATAATCAACCACCCAGGTACGCACCTGCTTGGGATGACAAAGGCTTGATGTTCGGATCCGGGCGGAGCCTGTTTTTCAAACTAGAAATTTTCTGACTCGTCTGTCTGTTTATTTTTTTTGATCTAAGTTCATGAACTCCATTTATAAAGCTCTATCGGTGGAGTTAATTGAGTGACAATGTTTTTCGCGGAATTTGAGGTTTATTTTATTTCGAAAAAAAAAGTTATAAAAAAAATTTAATAGAAAAGAATTTAATTTTTTCAAAAGTTTTTGCTACGCTTATTAATGTGCTCTGAAATATTACATATGCGTTGATTGAGCTCGCAATTAGCCAGAGATGTCAATTCAGAACATAGAGTTGTTCTTGTAAACAACTTATCCAAAAAAGCGCCAAAAATTTTTTCCAAATCTGCACTTTCGTCAACCAACAGACATATTTCAAGCATGATGGATATCAAATACCCGTTCTATTTGGTATTTATTTGAAATGCTGGTTTTATATTTACCAATTGCAGTTCGGTTCGGTCTATTTTGTCCTCTATTCGGTCTATTTACCAATTGCAGTTCTATTCGGTCTAGATCGAAGCTCTGCTTTGCCTCTGTGTTTTAAGTTAGTTTCTAACAAAGTATCAATAATAAAAGGATCTTGAGTTTCAAAATGCTTAAGAGTATTGAACGTAGTGAAGACTCTTATTTAGGTCTTTGTGATTTTGTTTTTTTTTTCAGGAAAAGTCTTAAAATGCTTTAATAACTACAGATGTGCATTCATACATATTTATGCCTTTATAAATGCACTTTTTAGTTCAATTGAAATTCATCTGCTATAAGTTACGTTAAAAGCACTCTTCAAATACGAACGTGGAAATGGAACGATCTCTAGTTTCGAAAGTGGAATTTAATTGTTAGGTTTCAAGCGGAATAAAAACTTTATCTGTTGATCCAGTTTTCTCAAGTTGGGTTCGAAAAAGCGCCAACCATAAATCGTTCTAGAAATTCAAAGAGCTTACAGGGCATCAATTTTTATTTGAAAGTGAAAATTTGAAGTTGCTTTTTGTTTCCTGGCGTTTATTAAACAATTTACCAACTGACTGTTAGCTAGTAATCAAATCGGGTTTTATAAATAAAAATAATTAACTTATAAATCAACTAATTATTTTTATAAATCAACTAAGTTTCTGAGAACATTAGGTCTGACTAGACTTCTTGTTGATGCCACTTAATGATGTGGGTAGGAACTGTGACCTGGGTTGCAAGTTAATTAGGCGATTTCAGGTGCATTTTAGACCGCTGGTAGGACAGCGAATGCAGTATCATATAAAAAAAATTACGCTGTTTTTGCTTTTAGGCTATTCAAAACAGACAGTTCAAAGCTTAAAATTTTTTGCTTGTTTGAAAACAGTGCAAGTCGTACAAAAAGTAGATAAACCGTTTGATAGAGGAATAGCATTTACCTTGTCGAGCGGTTAACAATTGATGGCTGGTTTGAAATCAAATTGTCTGATAATTTGAGATAAGTTTGATCATAACTCAGAGCACTAAATCAGGATAAGTCATTGACACATTTACCCTTGCCGTAATCTAGGGTGTTGCAACCGGGTATTAGACATTTTTGCTGAAATTTTTTTCATCTTCCAGACTATGTTCAATTAACAGACAACTTTTTGTGCATTTTTTATTTGGTTTCTTTTAATATATTGGTTGTAAGTTGACCAACTCCCGTTTTCAGTATGTCGTTTTTTTCGTTTTTTTTCCACTTTTTTCTCTTTACTCGGCTTAAACCGTTTCAATTTATTTTTATTGGCTATACGGCATCATTTTGAAATTTGATGTGCAAAATTTGTTTTATGTCCTTGCTTTGAGGGTGACTTGAAAACTCATTACTGTGTTAAATTTTTTATCAAAACATTTTTTCGGCTCAACTTGTCTGCTCAAGAAATGTCAGCTTTGGTACCACTTCGTTGGCTTTGTTTCGACGCCAATTTAACATTGAATTGTGTTACTTGGCATGTTTTTTTGAGAGCGATTTTTGCTTAGGACAAAATCAAAACAACGATATGAATTTTAATAGATCAATTTTTTCGACATTATTCAAAAGTCTCCTTTTCGGCGTAATACGTTCCGACCTGTTTTGTACCAGTTTATGGCCTCATATTGCATCTTTTGATAAAAGTGAGATTTTTTGTGTGTGTATGTATGTGCTTCGAGGGGGAATGGGACTTGATGTTTTTTATTAGATATTTAAGTTTTTTTGAGTTTTTTCAGGTCAAAGGCTTTCTGTTTAGGTGTTTTAAGTTTTACCGTTGTTTTTTCTAGTGCCAATTTTTTTTGAATTTAAATCCGCCAGCTCCGTTTTCAGTAATCGTTTTTTTTTCTTTTTTTCTCTTTACTCGGCTTAAACCGTTTCGGCTTTGTTTTTATCGGCTTAGCGGCATCATTTTGATATTTTTTTTTGTGCAAAATATATGTTTTATGTTCTTGCTTTGAGGGGGACTTGAAAACATATTACTGTGTTCGTAAATTTTTTATCAGAACATTTTTTCGGCTCAACGTGTCTGCTCAAGAAACGTCAGCTTTGTACCTTTTTGTCGGCTTTGTTTCGATGCTAATTTAACACTACACTTTCTTGAACGATAGCTAAAGACAAAAATTTATCTTAATAGATTGTACTGATTGTGAAAAAAACTCACTTGATGTTACTGTACTAGAAGGTTCTATATTTAGGTTTTTTCATATAGGTCTCATTTTAGCTTGCAGCAAATCTCTGTAAAACTGGCGAAAACATAGAATGGTGAAAAAATGTTTTTTTTTTTGTAAAACTGGCGAAAACATAGAATGCTGGAAAGCATTGCCGTAAGTAAAAGGAACTGAAAATTTTAAGTCATAGGAGTGATAGGGCTTCGAAATTTGTTAGCTATTCAGGTATAGCATTAAAACTACTTTGACTTCTGGAGTTAGTTGAAGAGAAAGGGTGTCATGAAACTCTTAATGCCTGCAGAAGCTCTCACTTGAAGTTTGGTAATGTTCTAAAACCAGTGGAATCGATCTTTCTTTAACTAATTTAAATCTGTTCACATAGAAAGATTTCTTTCCAAGTTCTGGGATTTTTTGCCGGTGTTTTTAAATATAGAGCTAAAAATGTACTCTTGTCTTGTACTAGGTCATAGGTTCGGATAATTTTGTCCTGGTGATTGTCCATTTTATTTTACTTGATTGGTGGATACTATCAAAATTACCCAATGTATCAATTAGTTCCCAATCTTGTGGACTCCTTTTACTTAAAACATAATCTCTAAAAAATCGTTCAATTTAATGTTTTTTAGCTTGTTTGTGGGACTTTGTTTGAGACTTGACGTGTAAATTTAATGTTTTCGCTAGTCAAGTTGAAGCGATTTGCGTTAACCACAATTTTAATTAGGAAAGATTCATGCGTAGATTGAACAAAAAACTAATAAACGTTGAGACACAAAAGTTCGAAGAAAATGGATTTAGATTGAAATTAATCCTTATTTTCGCTGGGTCTAGGACAACAAGCCGACGGGACTTCAAGTTTTACAATTCGGCTTGATGTCCGGCACCCATTTTTGCTTAATCTAAATTAAAAGCAGCAATTCCAATTACCACAGATTTTGTTATTTTTACCGGTTTTGGGTCTTTTCGGTTATACCCCCCCCCCCCCCCTAAATGAATAAATTTGGAAATTCAAATTTCGAGTTGAAATTTAAAGCGCGAAAGCTGCTCGATTAGGAAACCTAGAGCTAATTTTGACATATACTTTTGGTTCCCAATCTGGTAGCTGCTAATTGCACGCGAGTGGTATTTAATTTTTTGTTTCACTCGCTTTCGTGCTTTCAATTTCAACTCGAAGCTGCTCGATTAGGAAACCTAGAGCTAATTTTGACATATACTTTTGTTTCCCAATCTGGTAGCTGCTAATTGCACGCGAGTGGTATTTAATTTTTTGTTTCACTCGCTTTCGTGCTTTCAATTTCAACTCGAACTTTGAATTGCCAAATTTATGTGTTTAGGGGGTATAACCGAAAAGACACCCGGTTTTGTATAATAGGTGTTGGTGATTTTTAAAATCTTGGTGATTTTTGAAAAGTCTTAAAATGCTGTAATAACTAGAGAATTGCATTCATTCAGAAACACTTTTTGCACGCATTATAAATGCTCTTTTGGGTTAAATTCCAGTTCCTTTGCTAAAAGGTAAGCAAGTAGCGCACTCCAATTACAAAATTTGAAACGACACGAAAAACATTATTGACTTCTTGTTCGAAATTGCATTGCAATTTTCAGATTTCCCAGCGGAATAAAAACTTTACCTATTAATCCAGTTTTTTCATATTGGGTTGATTTTATCAAAAAAGTGCCCATCATGAATTGCTTATAAAACTTATAAATTTCGGGGCATATATTTTTTTGAAATTCGAAATTTTTTAACCAACAAGTCAATTTTTTTTTGTTTACTTGCATTCATTGACTCTTTTCCAACTGGTGGTTGGCTATTTTCATTTCAAATTCTGCGGCTTTGGGATGATGTTTTGGTGACTGCAATTTATAGTAGCTATGAGATACTTCTTTCTATCTTGAGTACAAATCGGGCTGTCTCTGTAACTATTCAGCAATTAAGTCTTACAATACATAAATATTTTCTTTACTTGAACGATGTCATATTACTATACTCAATCTGTTTCGATTACGCATCTGATTAATTAAACAACATACATATATATTATCAGCATTGGTTAACTTGAGATAAGAGCTGTGAGCTTAACTCTGTGTGGGTTATCAGCCTGAATGAGACTTATTCAATAATTCGGGAACTTTTATAACCTTATTCCTGGCTGATATGTTGGTAACGAACGGTGACATAGAAGCCGCGCATCTTCGCATCAAGAGCAACATTCACAAGACTCCATGTCTGACATCCAAGACATTCCAGCAACAGTTTTGTCCAGACAAAAAGGTCAGCTCGTTTTTTTTTTATGTGAGACAAAAGTGAATTTTGTTTTTCCCCCGAACAAACGTAGTTGAATTTTGTTACAATAATATTTTTAATTTTCCTTTCAGAAACAGAATCTCTGAAATAGAATAATAAGCATTGGTCAGTTTCCATTGTGTGCGTTCAGCAGTTATTTTTTGTTCCGACCGCGAAGGGAAGGAACTGTGGCGTAGGGTATGTTCTTTCTAGCCTGTTTTGGATCAAACCCTTTGGCCTCGAAGAAAGCTCGCGGGGGTCAAGTGTGACTTCATATCAAAGACCTATTGATCGTAACCCCTTTTCTACAAAAATCCTAAAAGTTGCCTCAGTGTCTATAAAAATTGGTCTGTTAAATAAGACGATTTGAACAGAGGCTGACCTCTAAATTTCTTTCTGCTCTCAATTTAAAACTCATGTTAGTTATTAAGTACCACCAGGGGCGGATCTAGGATTTTCTCAAGTGGGGGGGATTTTTAAATTCTAAAGCAACTTAAATTTTTCCTTAAAATTGAGTGGGCTCATAATTTCGTTTAAATAAATTGAAATTTGAATGAAAATTTTAATTAATTTGAATTGTTTTTTTTTGTTAAGTGGACATCACTGCTTGCGATGAGCAAGCGTTATCAAACTAGAATATAGACTTTTTCCGGGTTAACAACTTGTTCAACAGAATCACTTGTATCTTTGTTCATATTATATTCTTGCGTTCCGGGCTAACTTAGCCTGGAGCTAACGAATTAGCCTGAGATGGCAAAGGTCCTGGGTTCGAATCTGAGCAGGACAAGTTTTTTATCAAACGGGAAATATTCTGTGTCAAAAAAGTTGTCGGCCAATTATTTTTCTGCTTATCTGTTGTCGGCTTAGTTGTCACATCTTGAAATCGTTTTTTGTTGTTGCGCGCATTTTTCTCTAATGTTGCATTTAGTGTTTGATTTCCTCCTACAATTTGTAATTTCGCTTAAAAAAATACCTCCGTCAGATTAGTTTGGCCGATTCTTTTTTGGCTTAATGAACTAATTTTGGGTCGTATCAAGGGAAGCACAACTTTAACGCTCTCCTCCGCACTTTTCATGTTGGTTGTATGTTTAGCAATCGGTTTGTTGAAATTTCTTTTTTTTTCGTTATGGAAAATTGTTTCCAAATTCATTGGAAAAATCTTAATTTTGCCCAAACTTCTACTGATTTTCAAAAAGGCTATCAACTGCCTACTCCCCTGTGTGCCTGTATGCTCCCTTCGAGTCGCTTTTTACATGACCCCTCAGTCTACAGCCTTCGAAACAGTCTATGGGGGAATATTTGACCCATATTTGTCTCAAAAACACTCCACTCAAATCTGATTTTTCGATTTCAATGAATGGAATGGTTTCAAAATCTCCATGTTTGAGCGGCTACGCCCTAATTTTTTACACATAAAGTTATGGCCCTCGGAATAGTCAAGTTTTTTGATTTTTGACCGTTTTTTAAATTTTTTGAGTATTCTTGAAAAGTACCCTGCCATTTTTGAGATTTTGTTTTCAATTAAAATAACGTGTTCTAAGAAGCTCATTTGCCTATGCGACTATTCTCAAATTTTTCTGACACTAAAAGTTATGATCCTCAGAAAAGTCAAAATTTTGATTTTTTGACTGTTGTTTTGTTTTAAAGTTCTTGACCTTTCTCGAACTACCCTTCGTAATCTGAGATCTTGGAATCAATCGAAAATACAGGTTGAGTGAACCTTTTCTGCATAAGTGTATATCCCCAAGTTTTAAAAAGAAAAGCTATGGTTCTCGGAAATGTCAAATTTTTGTTTAACTGACCGTTTTTTCTGCGTTTCTCGCTAACTATCTTGCCGATTCGGATATCATAGGTTTAGTCGAAACAACAGGTAGGTGGAAGCCTTCTCTAATAGCTCGCTCTGCCCAGTCTGTTAAAGAAAAAAACTTATGGCCGTCGAACAAGTAGAAGCTTTGAAACTGTCACAGTTTTTTGCTAAGTTTTCGAAATGCGAAAACTACCACGTCAATTCTCAGGTTGTATTCTATCCAGAAACGCGGTTTTGGGAATTTTCTCTTCTTTAGTGGCCAAAACCTGCTTTTACCTGAAAAAGTCATGAATTTTGGAAAACGTTTTGACCGTTTCTTAGAAGTTATGACGGTTTTTTTTAGAACGTTTGACCGTTTGTTTGAAACTTCTTACAATTTACTGAATCTAATCTAAAATGATAAGTTCAACTGAAAGAAACGGTTGCGATAATGGTTCGTGTAGAAGCGGCGGCGCCTTAATTTTTTGTAAGAGAAATTTTAACTCCTTGGGAAAATTGATTATCTCAAATTTTTTTTTTTTACTCTTCTCACTTTTTTAAGTAGAGAAACAACTAAGGTTTTGGGCAAAATCCAAGTTTTTAAATCACATATTTCGTGCCGCATCAGTATAGCAAATTAATTCAATATCAAACCCATAGCTTTAGCTGGGCCCCTAGCTGTTTTATGTCTAGACACGAAAATTTTGGTTCCTCTAGTTTTTTTTTCATCTCTTAATTTTTTTTCGATCTGTTTTTTATGTGTGTTGTATCGCAAGTGGTGCGGAGCTCCGCTTCGCCTCTGTGTAGATATGGTCAAACTCGTCTAAGCCTTTTTTAGTACAAAAAGTGCTAAGATCATGTCTCAATTTTTAGATGATCACCACCCCCGCATATCTAAAGTGTTCGCAAACGACGTAGATAACGATGTTCTCATGGTCAAGCTAAGTTTTTTATTCGAAGTTTTCCTGTAATACTCATAATTATTTACTGCTGGAGCTCAATCTTCCATCAACTTTTATTTTATATTAGCTGGGATGATTTTAAAAAAAAATTAAGGTGGCGATTGGCTCAAAAATAGATATAAATGTTGGCCAATAGTATCAAAGGTCGTACAAAAACTGTACCATCAATGAAGGGGTTTATATGCTTGATAGTGGAGGAGAGGCGGGTTCAGCCTACTGGATAAATCAGATCTTACACGGAGTGTCGATTTCCAGGAGTTAAGGATGAGGGAAAAATAAGTGTACTTCAGTTTCATGACTTAAAAGAGAAGAAAAACTGCAATTATCATCATGATTAATACGAATTGTTTTTATTTGCATTGCTCCTCTCTTTTCCAGGTGGTGTTCAAGTGTGATAACTTCCAGAAGTGTGGCAGTTTCAAAGTGAGGGGTGCTCTGAATGCAGTGATGCTGCTGAAAGAGAGGCAGCCACAAGTGAAAACTGTCGTCACTCATAGCAGCGGCAATTTCGCGCAAGCACTTGGTAAATGTTAGAGATATACCCCCTGATGTCATTGCACTGCAATCTTCACTCTTTTTTCCTTGAACATTTTGTCCACAGGACTCTTTGGACTCAATAAACTGGTGGTACCTTGATTCATAAAGAATTTAAAAGCCGTAGTGTCTCTTGCACGCTTAGCCTGGTGGTAACGAATACACCTGGGACGGCAAAGGTCCTGGGTATGAATCTGATCAAGACCCGTTTTTTCCAAACGGTAATTGTTCCGGTTGAAAATTTTTTTATTTATCTGCTTATGTTTTGTCGTCTTAGTTGCCACATCTAGAAATTGTTCATTTTAGCCGTAAAAAAACTTAACTGCAGTTAGTTTTGACATTTAAAAGATCCGGACGAATCGAAGTCTGCTTTCACATTGGTTGTAAATTAACCAGCTCGATATGTTAAACTTACACTTTTTTCCATCTTTTTCGGCTTAATAAATTTCGGGCTTATTAATATCGATTTAGTGGCCTCTTATTGCGTCATTACGTCCAGAAAAAAGTTTTTGTGCGCGTGTATGAGCTCTGACGGGAAAATTGACTTGACATTTTTTATAAATTAAGAATTTTTTTGAATTTCTTTTCGGCATGAAAGGTTTTTTTTTCAGGTTTTTTCGTCTTTGTTACAGCTTGGTAATTATAAATTTTAATCCAAACAACCATGCGGTGCATCTGGTGTAGAGTTAAAACAACTGCTTGAGATAGCAAAGATTTGCGGTTCGAATCCGGCCGCGACCTTTTTTGCAAACTGGAGTTTTTGTGCTTTTTCGGTTTATCGTCCGTCTGTTTATTTTTGTCGGCTTAGTTCCAGAAACTCGATGATTCAACTTTATCACAATTTGCGGTAACCCCCATGCTTGGGACGACAAAGCCCAGGAGATTGATTCCAGTTGAGACTTGTTTTTCTTGCAAAATGAATTTTTTGGCTTATTTGATTATTGTCTGTCTGCTTAATTTGGTCTGCTTAGTTCCGCAGAAACACTTTTTTTTGAAAGATTGACGTCTGTAAAAGCACTCGCAAAGCTCTTTGTAGATTTTCTATTTAGGTGCAGGCTATTTTGTTCCGGGTATTTTGGGCTTCTGTTGCAATTTTCATTGACAAAAACGATTTTTCGATTTTTTCCCGTTTAATTTTCATAACATTCATATTTGTATCGCACGTGGTGCGAAGCTCAGCTTCGCCTCTATGTTAAAGACTGGTTTCATAAATAACGTTTTTGTGACGAAAATGAAAGTTATATTATAGGCCGTTAATTTTTCAGGAAAGTTTGTTCAAACTCAGTTATGGTGATTTTACGTCTGATTATTATTTAAGCTCCGGTGTTAAATTCGTTTCTTTGCTAAGGTCAAGTTTTTTAAAAATTTACAGTTATTAACTTTTTTAAAATTGTTAAAGCTCAAATTTCAGTTTTTTTGGTGTTTGCTAGTTTTTTTTACGCTTGCGATTAGCAAGCGTTATCAAACTGGAATGTAGAATTTTTTTTCGGGTTAACAACTTGTTTAAACGAATCACTTCAATCACTTGTATCTTAGTTCATAATGAACTCAAACTTCTATGCGATTCCGGAAGTCAGCCTGGAGGTAGAGAATACGCCTGGAACGGCAGAGGTCGTGGGTTCGAATCTGACCAGGAGCTGTTTTTTTTTTTCAAATAGGAATTATTCCTTTTAAAAAATTGTCGGCTGATAGTTTATCTTCTGATGATTTGTCCGCTTATTTATCACATGGTAGAATTGATTTTTTTAACGTAATTATCAATGCAGTTGCTTTTAGTGTTTTGAATAACTTATGCATTTTTTATTTTTACTAGCCTTCACTTCGTATATTTTCGCTTAAAAATTTTATTTGGCTTACATGATTTCTACTTATTTTTATCGGCTAACTAAGTTGTGTTCCAATGCTTATTTAAAATTCAAATGTGTTGCTCGGCATGTTTCTTAAATTACTAGTTTGATAAAAAAACTTCAATTATGAAAAATATGGGATTGGGTTTTTTATTTTATTCTTTTTGAGACGTCTTGAAACTTTTTTCTTCCTTTTTGCAAATATTTAATTTTTTTTAAAACTCTTTTCTACCAATTTTCAAAAAAAGTATATTAATGGAAAGACTTCCTACTACTTTTTGTGCCTGCAAACTACCATATTCTCTTTTTTTATTTACTTTACCCTCTATCTACACCCTTCGAAAATTCTGTTTCCGACCCATATTTTTTTCTCGTTTTCTCAAAAACTACCCTAGCAAATTAGATTGTGGGTTCAATGGAGATAACAGGTTATTGGAAGCTCCCCTGCATTAGCGGCCACTCACAAAGTTATCGTCCTCGGAAAATTCAATTTTTTGATTTTTTTGACTGTTTTTTTAAACTTCTTGAATTTTCTCGAAAACTACCCTCCTATATCCTAGATTTTGGAATCAATCCAAAAATTGGGTTGTGGGAATGCAAATGTGACAACGCTCAATTTTTTTTGACACAAAAACTTAAGGCCCTCGGAAAAGTCAATATTTTTTGACCATTTTAAGAATTTTTTGCCTTTTTTGAGAATTACCTTTCCAAATCTGAAATTTTGAGAGCAAAGCGAAATTACAGGTTCCTTGAATCTCTTCTGCATAAGCGGCTATGCCAATTTTTTCTGACAAACAGCTATAATTTTCGGAAAAGGTTAATTTCGTTTTCTTTTACTCTTTTAAACTTTTTGACTTTATTCAAAAATAAATCAAAATTTTTCTCACAAATCTGAGTTTCTGGTTTCAATAGAAGTTACAGGCATTGTGAATCTCTTCTGCATAAACAGCTACGCTTAAATGGTTTAAAAGAAAGAAATTTTGATTCTCGGAGAAGTCAAATTTCATGTCTTTGTGAAATCATATTTGTGGTCCTTGAAGTCAGGTTTAAGGCATCAAGGTTTGAATTGAATTAACAGTTTGTTGAAAGCCTAGCTTTATATATAGCTGCATTAACGTTTTTTTAGAAAAAAAGTAATTGCTTTGAAAATTTTTTGAAACTTTGACTTTTTTTGGAAATTTTTAAACTTTTCTTCAAAACTACCCTGCCAGTTCTCAGGTTAAGTGGTGATTCCGGTTTTGGGAAATTTGTTTGCTGAAGTAGCCTGGGCGTACTTTTAGCAGAAAAATAGTTGTGGTCATCAAAAGTGGATTTTTTGAACTTCTCATTGTTTTGTGGAATCTTTTTGACAAAATTGGCTAATTTTTTTTCTGCATAAACAGCCAATCTTATTTTTTAAAACAAAAAGCTATGATTCTCAAATGTCAACTATCTGATTTGTTGAAATCTTTTTTGGATATATCTCGATAACTATCTCGCCAAATCTGATATCATAGTTTTAATTGACGCAACAGGTTGTTGCAAGCCTACCCTGATTTTCTGCTAAGCCCATTTTATTCGAGAAAAAAGTTCTGGCCTTAAAACAAATGAAAGTTTTGAATCTTTGACAGTTTTTTGGAAGTTTTTTTTTTTACTCTTAAATTACTGTGCCAATTGTTAGGTTAAGTATTTAATCGAGAAACTCAATTTTGGGAATATTCTTTTGCTATACCGGCTACTACCTTCTTTTAGCAGAAAAAAATTACGGATTTCTGAAAGTCTAGTTTTCGAACATAGACCGTTTTTTGAATTTTTTAATAACTACCACATCAAATCTGAGATGAAGGGTTCAACCGAAAGAACTGTTTGCGATAATTTTTCTACCGATTATGCGACTACCTGTTTTTGTTATATAAATGTTACGTCCTTGGGAAGATTGCAATCTATTTATCTATATCTATCTATACTATATTTAAAGCTATACTATATTTAAATGCGAGTGACAGCTATCTCCCATGTTTAAGCATAATACTTTTGCATGTTTAACGAAAGAATTTTTTCATATTTAAGCTATATCATATATTGCAATGCTTAAGAAAATTTTTAAATTAGTTTTCCGCAAGGTCATTAATTTTACAGTAATTTTTTTTTCGAAGCCAAGTTAAGTCTGTCTGTCTGTAAACCTGCTTTTTTAATTAATTACATTATGCCTATCTACCCGTCTCCTGATTTATTAATTTACATCTTTTATCTATCTGTCTATTAAATATTTCAATGCGGGCTTCACTATCTCGCCATGTTTAAGCTTTTTTAACGTATTATTTTTGCATAAATAAAAGAATTTTTTCATGTTTAAGCTATATCGTATATTGCAATGGTTGAGGTTTTCAATTTTCCAGTTTAAAGTCAGTGTTTATTTCAATAAGTTTCAAATTAGCAACCCAATAGTGGGATGTTGTCAGAGTTTTCTCAGGTTTTGCGATTCTGGCCTCCATATATGAATAACCAAATCCTTTTAGTTTACGATATAGGCAATTTTCTAGATTTTTCAAAAATTTCTAAAGTTTAATTGAAAAAAGTTTCTCAATTTTTGAATTTCTTAACGTATAGTTGGGTGCTATCGGGGTACTCTCAGGGGTTGCGAATCTTGCCTCCACTTCTCACTTCTCAAATCCGTGTAGTTTTCGAGATATGACGTTTTTTTATGATTTTTCAAAAAATTTTCAAAAACTTAGATTTTAAAAAATTCCAAAACGTTGATGATTTCGATCCTGTTGTTGGATATTGTGAGGGTACTCTCAGGGGTTGCGAAACTTGCCTCTGAAAATGGCTGCTGAAATCCTTGTAGTTTTCGAGAAGTGACGTTTTTTTTAAGATTTTCTCAAAATTTTTCAGAAAACTTAGATATAAAAATCTTCGCAAAATTTGATATTCCCATCTCTGTTTTGAGTCTCTGTCAGGGTACTCTCAGGAGTTGCGAGTTTTGCCTCCAAATATGACTGCTCAAATCACTGTAGTTTTCGAGATATGACGTTTTTCATTATTTTCTCCGAAATTTTTTGAAAAAAACTTAGATGTTAAAAAATTCCAAAACTTTGAAGCTCTCAATCCTATTATTGGAATCTGTGAGGGTACTCTCAGGTGGTTGCGAATCTTGCCTCTGAAAATGGCTGCTCAAATTCTTGTAGTTTTTGAGATATGATGTTCTTTAGGATTTTCTCAAAATTTTTCAAAAGAATTCAGATATAAAAAATTTCACAAAACTTAAAAATGCCATCTGTCAGGGTGTTCTCCGGAGACGCGAATTTTGCCTCCTAATATGACTGCTCTAATTCTTGTAGTTTTCAAAAGATGACTTTTTTAATGATTTTTCAAAAATTTTCAAAAAAACTTCCTAACCTGTAGTTGGGGGTGTCAGAGTAATCTCAGGGGTTGCGACTTCAGCCTCCAATTAAGAATGGCCAATTTTTTTTTAATTTAAGGGAAACGACGATTTATGTGTTTTTTTTCGGAAATTTTTAGAAAAGTCATATTACAAAATAATTCACAAAAGTAAAATTCCCAACCCTGTAGTTGTGTGCTGCCAGAGTACTGTCAAAGATTGCGAATTTTGCCTTCAAACAAGACTGCTCAAATCTCAGTAGTTTTTGAGATGTGACAATTTTTCTGGTCTTCAAAAATTTTTTTTTAGAAAACTGAAGGTTGAAGTTTCTCAAAATTTCACAATGCTGTACCTGGGTACTGAAGAATTTTCTCAGGAGTTGCAAATCTTGCTTCCAAATGCGACTGCTCAATTGCTTTAAGTTTCCCCAGATATGGCATTTTTAGTTCCTTTTTGATTTTTTCAAAGTACTTCGATAAAGTTTCTTAAAGTTTTATGGTTTTTCGAAATTTGTAAAAAAAAACTTGAATGAAAAACTTTGCAAAATTTATAATTACGATCCCTGTAATTAGGTGCTGTCAGAGTACACTCAAAGAATGCAGATCTTAATTCCAATATATGTGATTTATTATGAGTACCCGAGGTGCGTTACGCGCTAGTATCTAAGAAGTTTTTTTGCTCTTTTCATGTATTTAAAAGAAACAACTAAAGTTTTGAGCTGATTCCTATTTTTGAAACTATCCATTGCATACCGCATCAGTAAAACAAACTCAAATAGTGTCAAACACATACCTCCAGCTTTAGCTGGCCCATATTATATTTTAATGAGACAAACGATAATTTTGGTTCACCTAGTTTTTTTTACCTATGTTTTTTATGTTTGTGTAGTATAACAAGTAGTACAACGCTCTGTTTCGCCTGTGTTTGAAAGCTAAGTTATTAAATAGATTTTATGAAGTTAAATTTTTCGCAATTTGACTTCTGATTTCTTTTGAAGTGGTATTCAAAAATGTATTTGGTACTCGTTTAGAAGTATGGTCCCGATGTTTTTGATGAGTCCCATTTAAAAGCTCGTTTAGAAGTGTGGTCCCGCCAGACCACTTCAAGTATACTTAAAATACGCAAGTGGACAAAAACAAAAGAAAACTTTTAAACATTTCTTTGTTATGTTTGCCACTTATATTTTCTTTAAAACGGAATTATCAAAAAGAAAAAATCACTGAAAAAACCAAAAAAAAACTTTAAAAACTTCTATGTCTGACGTTTACATGGGACGATTGGTAGCTTTACGGGACCATACTTCTAAACGAGGTTTTTAATGAGATCATACTTCTAAATGAGTACGATAATTTTTTTTCGGATCGGTTGGATTTGATGAAAAAAAGATTAATCATAAAGTTTCGAATTTCAAAAATTTTTCACGTGATATACTTTGTCCGAGTTTCGAATGTTAAAAAGGTTGTAAAAATAGGATGTTTTTTCTTGTTTCCGTTCATTGGTACGTTTTCTACTGTATGTATATTTATGCTTTTTTGTCGTTTTTGTGGTTTTTTTTGCTGTTTCGTGCTTCGTTGAAATGTCTAAACTGCATGACAATTTTCGTTTAATTATAGCTATTTTTCTGCTACCTTGTATTTATTTGTAAATCAGGTTTGAAATATGTAAATTTTCACCAGTGGTCTTGTGCTTAAATCAGTGTTATAGTTAAGCAAACGTTAGTTTTAATCCTGTGGTCATCAAAAATTATTATTTTGCAGTTATACTTTGGTTCAAGGCTTGATCGCTATTATTTTTAAGTGTGCTGATTCAAAGATGTATATATTTTTTTGCCTTTTTAGTGTAATACAATATTGTTTTTGCTTTCCTCTTTAGTGCAAAAAATATGTGAGCTGAATTATATTTGAACAATTTTTGAAATTATTTTTGTTTAGTTGTGGCTGCAAGTGATTCGTATCAATTAATTGCTTGATTTTGACTCGTTTTTTTTTCGAGTGCGTTTGATTCTGCTCAACTGATATCTATAAAACTTCTATCGGCTTATTTTTGGCGTGGCTTCAACTGCCCCAGATTCAATCAGTTCTGTGTATGGGTGAAAGTAATTGCAAATTTTCTTCACCGCAATCAATTGTTACTAATCTGGTAATTACCATTGGCATAGGCAAGGGTATTGCAATTGGGTACTAGACTTTTTTGCCCGTGAACAACTTGTCCACAGGTTTTCATGCAGTATATGAACGACATGCATGCAGTATAATTGACATGTATATAAACGACATACATGCAGTATATGCTCCCTATTTGAGCTCATTGGTCTATTACTCCCATTGTGCATCCTTATAAGTGTTTTTCCAATAAATCCCAGCTCAAAACTTTTAAATAATATTTTTTTGGTATTCAATGATTCTTCGACTTCGTCTTAATCGGTTTTTTTTTGTCGGATTAGTTTCCGCTTTAATTTTGCAAGCAACTACCTCGCTCATTTGAATGTTATTTATAGAGGTTAGAAGTCTAAATAATTTTTCGAACTTAAAATTGTAAGCTTACATACATTTTTTCATTGAACAGTTTTGACCAAATTTATCGCCTTTATCAATACTTTTTTCCAATAATTTGGTCACTGTTTCCTTCATTTATTAAATACTTTTTTTAATTTTCCAGATGTTTAATCTTCACAGTTTTCTGGTATTTTTACACGCCAGAATTTTTTGGTAGAAAAACAAGTTAAGAATTTTTTGTTATAAATTTTTTGAAATCAATTTTCAGTTTTTTTTTAATTTATGGTTTCTGATTTTTTTTTTGTACTAAAAATACGTGAAGTTAGTTTTAGGTTTATTTAATTTGGTTTGTTTTGGGTTAATAAAATTTTTTTTGGAATCGATTTAACAGCGTACTGTTTTGATATGTCAAAATTATTTGAAAAACATTCATAAAATCCGAAAAAAAACATGAATTTCCGTATTTTCTTATTTCATTTACGGGCGTGTTTTTTTGTTATCTTGTTTATCAACTTTTCATATTTGATAAATTTGATCTCTTTGGGATGTTTTTGTAGATGTTAAAAATTGCTTTACGTTTTCTGGAAGTTATTTTTGATAATTGGTTTTCAATTTAGTTTTTCATTTTAATCCTAGTTTACAGCAAGCAACAGATAAGGCTTTTTCTTATCCTAAAGTTTGCCTGTAGGACATACAGGTTGTTTGTTTGTATGGTTTTAAGCAAAGTTTTTGAATTCAATCACGAGTTTTGAGATCATTTGACCGAGTTTTTTTTCTTATCGTTTCCATCTAGTTGTTTTGAGAGAGAAATGAATGGAGTTTGTGTTGCCCGAATGATTCTAATGTTTTAGTTAAATGGTTTCTATAATTGTTTTTTTATATATTTTAGCCTACGATTTTTTCAATACATTTATTTTTTTTTTGTTTTTGTTTGAGACCTATCTTTTTAACTTATGCTTTGCATTTCTATCGCAAGTGGTGCGAAGCTCAGCTTCGCCTCTGTGTTTATGTGTTTCATGTGCAACTGATTGTTAAATTATGATTTGAGCTATTCGCAGAGGTTTCCTTTGTCTCTAACTAAATTTGGCATTATTGAGTGATAATTTAGAAGTTGGAGGTTTTCCTATAGAAAATGTGATATTTATTTTATCAGTTCACTTTGCCAACCCCAGAGCAGTCTTTTTTTCTTTCTATCGAAGTGTCAATATTACGGGCACAAATATTTCAAATTATTTGTTATTCAGGCTGAACAGATTGTTGAGCCTTTTGGTATATTTCAGCTTTTAAAATGTAGCTCTCAAAATTTTTTTTTCAGCATACGCGGCCCAACTGAACAACCTGTCGTGTCACGTGGTATGTCCCTCGAACACGGTGCAGGCGAAGAAGGATGCGGCTCGGGAGTACGGGGCAGAGGTGACAGAGTGTGAACCTACTGAAGAGGCGCGTGAACAGACTGCTCAGCGGGTCATCCGAGACACCGAAGGAGCTGTGTTTGTGCACCCATATGCCCACGCAGATATCATATGCGGACAGGCTAGTGCAATGTTTTCAATTTGAACATAGGGAAAAATAAAAGAGTAAAATATAATTTAATCGGTAGATTTTCAAAAGAACATTTTAGAATGATTTAGGAAGAGCTAAACCCATACACGATAAAGTTGCAGCGAAATAAATTTTTTTTAAATGAAGGCGACAATAATAATTGATCTTTTTGGTCAATTTTCGAGAACATTTAATTTATCTAGTTTGTGGATACGATTTGTCAGTCTTTGATACATGACATTGCATTTTATCTTGCTATGAGTCTTCTTGGAATTCTTTTGATAGGAGACCCGACTTAATATTCCTCCTATCAAATCCATATGACGAACTACCAAAAACTCATTGCTTTTCACGTCGAAATTTTTTCAAAATATTTGATCCTGAAGTCTGGTTGGCTTGTGTAACTTTCAGTCATTCATTCAGCCCTTCTGCTATTAGGGATTTCTCAATAATATTTTTAATCTGACGTGTCTTTTAGGGAACAGCTGGACTGGAGATGATTGAACAGGTGGACAAAATAGACGCAGTGCTAGTCCCAGTGGGTGGAGGGGGACTGCTCGCGTAAGTAAACCCTCAGTCTGTATATACTAATTTGAAAATTTGTTAGTTCTAAATTTTTATTTGGTTTTGAAGTGGGATTGGTATGTCGAAATGAGTAGACAGTATCAAAAATAGAAGCCACACCAATCACTGTCTCTTTTTTTTCTTTAAAGGTATTGTAAAATGTTTAGTTAATCTCATCACAAGCTAAATATTTGCTCAAATATGGCACCAAGAATAAATAGCGTTTTGTTTCAGAGGTATTTCGTCGGCCATCAAATACAAATATCCTAATGCCAAAGTCTACGCAGTAGAACCAGACACAGCGGATGATGCCAAAAGATCTTTCGACAGCAAGACTCTAATTCGAAATGAAACGTATCCCACAACTATATGCGATGGACTACGCACATCTATGAGTGAAATAACTCTAGCTCATATGCTTAAACATGTTGATGACGTCATCTTAGTTTCGGATTCTGACACCGCCTCGGCCGCTCGTTTCTTCCTGAGGAGAATGAAAATATGCGTGGAACCATCAGGTGCAATTGGTGCTGCAGTTTTGATGAACAAAAATAACCTTGAGAAATACTTCAAAAACTGTGAAAACATAGTGATTTTTGTATGCGGTGGAAATTTTGATTATCTTCTACAAGCAGATTTAATTAACGATCTTTAGTATCTTTTGAAACTGAGTTGCTGTACACAAAAAGTCTTATAGGGTAATGACGATGTCGAGAAAGTCAGCAGAATTATAAGTCACATTATGGCTGAATGGTTTAAGTTTTTACTCCTGAGAACGTTTCAATTTCAGGAAGAACATCAATCAAAAGGATGTCTGCTATCAATCGCCAATAGATTTTAATGCTCATTAATATGCTCATGCAAGTGTTGGCTTCACAAAATTTATACGGGAAGCGATAGAAGATGAAAGTATGGCACGAATCTTTTTATTGATTCGATACTGTTGATCGCTCGATTTTTTCCAAAAAAAACTTGAACACATGGGGTTTAGAGGTGTCAAATTAATTTCACTGAGAATCTAACTTTCATATCGAATGCTTTATGTTGCAATGGTTGGAGATGTTTGTGAAAATACCAATGTTTGTGAATCAAGATTTTTTTGTATTAATCAAGTAGTTTTTCTCAATTATGTATAGCGTTCTAACGATTTTCAATCATTCATCAAGTAATGATACGATTTCTTTGCAAGGCAGATGTACAACATGTCTGATCAGAGAACATTCTGCGCTGACCTTTTCTCAGAACTCAGCACGTCTATGAGTGTTTCTTAAATTCTAATACGTTTCAACGCTGCTCAGTTATAGTTTTCAATTTATCTTAACATGCTTTACTGGCAATGAATTTCAGTATTTGAGCATGATATAAAGCATGATATAAAATATTTGAGATCTATTGTATTTGTTCCGACCCCTGACTGTGGGATTGAATTTTGTCTCTTTCATTTTTATACCCCATTTTTTATGCAAAATAGGATAGCATAAATAATTGTCGGACTGGGCCGCAAGGCATATCATATTTAATTGTTTCAATTGTCACTCTTATGAAAATGAAACTAATTATTTTTCGTCAAACGAGTTTTTTTTTATTTTTCGTCAAACTCCGAGTTAGTAACAAAAATCTAACATCAATTCATGACATCAAAGTTTATTTTTACTCCAAACAACTAATTTTTGTAGCTCCATTTAGCGTTTTATTGGCAACAAAAGTCTTTTAATTTTTTCTTTGCATTTCACACAAAATCAGGTACCACAAACAGTCGTCAAAATTGGTCGATTGATACAGCATACTAAACCATTTTCAGTCGCTATTCGAACGACATTCAAAAATTTTCAAAAACGTGTCTCAGTAATGAGAAAAACTGAATTGAAATTTTTGATTTTTAGTCTATATTCTTGCAACTAAAGGAAGCGCACAGGCTTATTTATGCAGTAAAAATTGCACTAGCTTATTAATGTTTGTTTGAGGCCGTGGAAATTTGATTTTACTCAAGTAATGTTTGTTTTTGAGTTCATAGCGCCAAAATTCAAAAATTTGAATTTTTTGTTTTATGATCATTTTTCTACAAAAACTGTTGTACAGTTTGCCTAATTTACTATGAGTGTCGAATATGCTTAACTATTTTTTTGGGTTTTTTAAGTCAATGGTCGGAACATTTAGTGCTAACTGCACAGTATCCCGCTATCCTTGTTTTGTGTTATTGTCTTCGTTTTTTGAAAAAGGAATAGTTATCTACGCCCAATTTTCTGTTAGCCTATCAAGTCAAACTCTTTTCTATACATCACGCACACTAAACGGTAAAAATTAGGAAAATTTAGTTCTTTTAGTCTTTTTTATATTAAGATGGTCGGAAATTTCTGTGCTGCATGCACACCCGCATCCAGTTTCAAGCGTTAATAATCGATTATAATATGATTTTAGTACCAATATTACAAAAATTGAAGAAAAAAAATTGATTTCAACCAATTAATAATCTATTATAATCTCTCTTTTTGAAAACAGATATAATCAATTATTATTACATGATAGTCGATTATAATCAATTATTTTCATCCGAATTTCCAATTCTTTTGTTTTGCAGAAAAAAATCCATTAGAATTGATTATAATTGTTTATAATCCCTTTTGTTTGCCCATTTTGTTTTTGACCTTGCACCTGAATTGTTTATTATTTATGCTTTTCGTAGACAATAATTAGTCAAATGGTTATAACTATTTTTAAATCAAATCAAATTTAGAGCGTTTTTTTATTACTTCTTGATTATAGTTGTTTCATGACGCAAACTTGAAGTTTTTTTTCACGAGTAAATTATGAGAACACAGCTTTAGTTTCATTCATGAAATATATAGAAGAAATAAAAGTCACCTACCGCGGGATTCTTTCAACTAATATGAAGGGATCTCTATGAAACTTTTGTTTCGTGGTAAAACTTTGTGTTCAGATGAACCAAAGAAAGACAAGACATTTCTTTTTTTAGAGATTTTTGACAGAAAACAGGATTATAATCTTTTATAATAGATTATAATAGATTATAAGAGATTATAAAAGATTTTCGGAAAAATTATAATCAATTAAATTTGTTTATAATTTATAAAAATGTCACGAAAAATGTTATCATTATAATGGATTATAAATCGTTTAAACATCTAAGCTTGGCGCTTATAATTAATTATAACTTTGATAAAAGTACAATTATAATGATAATATAATCGAATATTTTCTCTTTTTACTGAGGGGTGGTAGCAACTGTCTACTTAAGTATCAATTGGCTTTCATTTTTGTCGATCTTGTCGGTTTTCATGCAATGTTTGCGATGTGTTGTATGTGGTGCAAAGCTCCGCTTCACCTTTGTGTTGATCAATGCTTTTTTGACATTTTGTTTTTCTAAATGTTTATTTTTTCAAAGTCTTCAAAAAGTATGTTGATCTCCACTCTATGTGTCATGCAAAGCCACGTGCAACAGAATCTGTAAAGTGATTTTTAGGCTGTTCAAAAGTTTTAATTTGTTTTTATCAAAATTAAAAGTTAAAATTTCTTGCCTACTTTTGTCAAAACAGAACAAGTGTACGAGTACTGAAGTTCTGAAAAATGATCTCTCAAATCTTGATTTCTGATAAAAAAATATATTTTTTTTGTCACCAGAAGCTCTTCATCAGAAAAGCGTTAAATGTTCATCAGTGATATACAATGAGCAAATTGAAGGTGTAAGTAGTAAAGCAAAATTGAATGCTTTGAGTGAAAAATCAAAATTAAAAATAGTAATAATCGTTGCTCAAGTCGCGGCGTTTTTTGGCCCTTGCTACCAAAGCGATTTACAGCTCGATAAACTTACTTCAGGCGGTCTAGACAATGATACTGATATGCTCTTCAGCACAAATATAAATTAGTGTATCTAAAGCTGTTGTTTATGTAGAACACCTCATAAAATCAAAGAGAATTGAAATTTGACAATGCGTCACAAATTCATAATGACAATAAACTATATTAAGTAATGAACATAACGGATGCGCGCGTAAAAACATTGGAGTAGCAATTATAGTACTCTAAAAATTACAACTGGCAATTTTTTGCGTTGAGCTTTAAGTAAACCTGGAAAAATAGACGATCATGGAATTCGCTGTGAATGGCATGTCTTGGGCTATTCTGGTGTTCGTCCTGCAAGGTAAGAACCATTATTTCATTCCGGTGGCCTTGTCATTAAACTGTTAAAAGCAAATCCGTTCAAGCAAGATTAATCTATTTACATTAATAAGAACAATTGATTAACTAATACCATTTGTTTTTCCTGCTACCTTTTTGTATAAAAAAATCAGTATCTTGCTGTGATCTAAGCTCAGATCAATTTTCACCCGCTTGTTTCACATGTACTCAAGCATTTTTAATTTCTGAGCCCATCAATCAATATAAGACACATAATTTTTGGGTGTTAACAAACTATAACAAGCTGATCACTTAAACTATTCGCCCATCACTGGTGTTTTATGTTAGTATAGTATATGGCCTTTCAATAGCGTTGTTGAAAGGAGTGTGTTTTATCTGCTGTTGTCTATAAATGGTCGAAGGTTGCTCATCTGTTTTCGAAGGAATTTGAATTATAGGCAAACTAATAGCACCATTTAGTTGCTAATTAGTTACAAACCAGATGAGAATTTAGAAGTTTTTTATGGCTATTTTGAAGGCTATTTTGAAGCATTTATTAACCGTTCTGAACAAAAGCAGCTCAGTTTAAAAGTGAAAAAAAACTTTCAAAATAAAAACCTAGTGATATCCGGGTTGAGGTGTTCACTTACGTCTCGACCGTCTTGACCAAAAGGGATATGTTTTGATCATGCTGGTCAGAATTGGGGCATGCTTTGACTGTGTTCGAGTTATGTAAATAAGTGGTCAAAAAGTTTGCTCCATGATACATCTATACAAAACAACTCGTCGTAGTTAGCTGAATTATAGGAATCTTACCGTGAGCTTTTCACTTCAGCAATATCTAACCAGGGATCTCCGCCCGTTTTTCACCTTGAGTCAATCTATCGAACATCAACGCACTTCCACTTTAATGGAACTCTTACAGAAAATGAGACAGATCTGTGGAACTTGACCGTTCACTACTCCGAGTGTGTTCCCTTTGACGGATCCCCGCCGGCCAGTCCAGGCGAGTGCAACGTCACGTTTATTCCGACCACTGCCTCAACTTATGCTCTTTATTTCCCAGTCCAGCTCAGTGACATGGTGCCGGGTAAAGCTTACAGATGGGAAATTGGCTATGGATACCTCGAGCCCCCCAACTTCGACGAGTTCAATGAGTCTTTCTCGGACATATGCGTCAGCTCAGGTACTTTCATGCCTAAATTACCATCCATTCACCCAGACATGAGTTTGCATCTCCAATCTTATAAAATTTTGTTCGAGCTTTTATCAGCGGAACGCATAATTTTTACGAATGCGAATCTTCCCAGGATTCAGGGGCGGACGCCCCCCCCCCCCCCTCAGGGATTCGACCCCCTGCCGACCAAAAGGGTCCCCCTTTGATACTTTTTAAGAAATCCATTTTTGGCCGACCGACCCTAAAATTTTTCTTAAGGCACCTTTGGCGCCAATATAAACTAACTTTGAGGGGGAGCGCGCGCCAAACAAAACGCAATTTTTTGTCAAAATTTTTCAAAAAGTGCCCAAAAT